CAGCTCCCTTCTTCAAAACTAGCATCAGCAACTCGAATTGTTTGATTGTCATAATTGATTGCTTTCACGTAGAATTTTCTTGATTGATCAGAGTACAATACTGTAAGGTTGTTCTCGCAGGATAGATTATATACTGGATCTGCAGTCATTCCACAGTAATTAGGCGGATCCGTGTTTAATCTGAAAGGGTAGCTAATATTCGAATTATTTCCACAAGAAGAAGGTGGACAGTAATGTTTATCTTTGGCACTGCAGGTCTCATGAATTAAGGCGAGAAGAAGAAGAGCGACAAAGATGAGGCCTGGACTAGGCATGGAGAGGACCGGGGCAAAAGGTATCGGCAACTTTCAGGTCTTTAAACAGAGTCTAATGGTTTACAGAAGAATTACTAATTTCTTGGCCTTAAAATAACCACACACTCTCCACCTTCCAACATTTGATCACCAGACTTTTTTTGAATTGAAGTTACATGATCGCCAGATTTTGGACTATTATCTATTTTTATTTTTTCGAACGCGGAAAATCATCATCAATTAAATTGAGACAGTTGTGCCTGGCCCCAGTAATGACTTTTCTCGATGGTTTCCTTTTAGATGATGCTTAATTACGTTGCAGCTAGACGTTCACTTTCTTGGTAACTTGCAGAGCATTGACTATAACAATCAACTTTAGAATTTTGGGTACAAATGGATACATCACTTACCCCACCCACATTGCTTGAATTTTCTCTTTAACCTTCAAATTATTCCCACAAGAAGAAGGTGGACAGTGATGTTTATCTTTGGCACTGCAAGTCTCATGAATTAAGGAGAGAAGAAGAAGAGCGACAAAGATGAGGCCTGGTCTAGGCATGGAGAGGGGCAAAAGGTGTCGACAACTTTCAGGAGTCAAGTGATTTACAGAAGAATTACAATAACTTCTTGGCCTTAAAATAACCACACACACTCCACGTCCACAAATTTTTTTTTTTTCGAACTACATAATTATGGAGGGAGAGATCACAAGTGTGGGATGAGTTTCGAACTATATACCCCGGATGCCAATCCACGGAGCAAACAGTCAATCCCATGTGGTTGGCCTCTACCCTCCAACATTTAATCACCAGACTTTGGACTATTATTTATTTTTATTTTTATTTTTTTAATGCGGAAAAGCATCATCAATTAAATTGAGACAGTTGTACCTCGCCCCAGTAACGACTTTTCTCGATGGTTTGCTTTTAGATGATGCTTAATTACCCTGCACCTAGACCTTCACTTTCTTGGCAACTTGCAGAGCACTGACCATAACAATCAACTTAAGAATTTTGGTTACAAATGGATACATCACTTACCCCACCCACATTGCTTGAATTTTCTCTTTAACCTTCAAATAATATGGACGCGGGAGGGGCGGGTCTGTTTCTGATATGGAGAAGCATTTTGATGATGATGGTTTTTTGGGAGTTTTTGGGCATCGGTATTGGGAAATTTGGAACGGGTCCAGTGAATTGATTTGGGGGGCAGATATTTGCTTTGCACGTCAATTCAACACAAAAAGTTAAGAAGCCTGAGGAGTTTAGGTTTGGTGGATTTGTTTTTCTTCGATACGTAACTGGCGGAGTGTTATTAGGATTTTTTTAATGCCTGACTTGAAAGTATAAATTAATCGTTTTTTTATATTAATTATTATTAAAAAATAAAAATGAATTTTTATTTAATTAATGACTTAATTAAAATTGATGATGAATTAATATTCGTTTT